CCCCTGGAGAGAGAGCATTATGCTTCAGTTGGGAGATGTTGGGCAACCACCTCTTCTCTCTGATGCAGCTGACTCTTCACAGAGTTCAGTTTGCCCCTGTTGTGTGTGATGGCCCTGATTCTCTTGTAGGGAGCTGATGGGATAGCCAATGTAAGTCACCACACTGTTGTCACTACTGCACCTAATGACTTGCCAGAGCTTCATAGCAGTAGTGAGACTAACATTCAACTCTTCCTGCTTGATAACCAAAGTCCTCTCTACCCTGCAATTAAAAGAGGAATCTCTGTCAGCTGCGTGGGGTCTATGATAAACAGGGGAATGCTTCTGGTTCGATACAGTAGAAAGGCAGTGCACATGGATGCACGCACACATCATTCCAGGACCTGATGTTCTGAGGTGCTCAGATCATGCAACTCCCTCTGGATATAATTAAAATATAAACAGATCTAACCCATCACTGGTTAGCACTGGCTTCAACCATTTGTTTTCTGGTATGTGTCACAGGAAAAGGAAATGAATATTAAAAAAAAGCCTTGCTGTCTGCAATGAAAAGTGATTCAAGAGTATAAAATAATCCATAATCCAGGCCAGGCAGAGCTCAGCAAATGTCCTTCCTTTGCACCTGGGAATAGGGAAGGATATCCTCACGCAAGACTAGCAGGGACTGAAGTGAAGTCACTGTGGTGTCTTTTGCTGCTGGAGTCAAAGGGCATCAGTTAGTCTAGTAACAATGATAAAACCGCCCCAAAGGTTTGGGGAAAAAATGGAGAATTCCCCAAATCTTCTCCCCACCACTGCCCCACGAGCTGCTACTAACAGTTACTCAGGGGCAGCAGAGGAAATAGGTGTGGCAATAAAACAGCTGGAATCTGTCCTTGCATGCTGCCAGGAATATGCTGTTGAAAGAGCTTGTTTGGCTAGGGGTGATCTGGGATACAACCACGTCACTTTTTTTTTTGGAAGGCGGAAAAAAAACCCCAAGCAAACCAGGAGACTTAATAATGATCAATAACAATAATCCTTATGTATATGATCCCTTCCAGCTCAAGAGAAAACCAGGCCTGGACTAGCCAGGGGATCTGCACCAGAGCTGCTGTTCCAGTTGCTTGGCTCTCCTAGGCTACAAAAAAGCATCATGTTTGTCGTGGGAGAAACCATTTAATGCTGGGCAAAGTATAATTGTTCAGACATCCATGTCCATTGCCCTGAGATAAATCCTACAAAAGTTCATGGGATAAGGACTACTAACAGTTTATCCCAGGATATTGCAAATTGTGTCTGAATGGTGATCTTGGGATTGTATTTTTGAATCAATGGCAGAAAAGAAGCAGTGCATCCAGCTGTTCACTAAATCCTGATCAGAAGGGTGATATGTGTACATGTCAATTCTGGGACATCTCTGTTTTAGGACAAAGACAGGCACAACTTGTCCAGGCATAAATGCAATGTCTGTTCCTACTCATACTGCTCTGCCTATCGATCTCCATTGTGAGCTGCACCTGCAGATATGCATTGGGAGCTCAGGCCTGGAGGTCTGCCTTGCGCTACTCTGGTAGATCTGAATGGGGGAAGGCTGTTATGGATGTGCCGTGTTTTGGGTCTGAGGAGCTTTGGCAGAGCTGCGTGTGTAGAGAGCCAAGGGCTGGAATAGCAGGGAATTGTGGGTCTGGTCGGTGTTTTATTGGCATGGCAGGATATGGCACACTTAGGGTAATGAGGTCCTGATCTCTGCTGAAGCCCAGAGGTGTTACTGCAACATGTGTAAACAAATAAGGGCACAGACAGAAGCAACAATTTTTGCCCAATCTGGCCATAGACAGTGGTCTATAGCTGTGACCAAACACAAGAGCACAGCTGTGGTTGAATTGCTGTTGCACCCTGGTTCAGTTGGGTTTCCTAAACTGGTGTTTCAATGCCTGGGATTCTCTGGCCTCTGTAGACTTAGGTCTGACACTGCTGCCAGCTGTTTCCAATGGCCACTTTGCTTTGCATGGGTGATAGAGACTGAGTTGGGTAAATATGCTTCAACCCAGTCAGCTTTCCCAAGGTGCTACACTGAGCAGGTGTTTGCAGAAAGCAAGGCCTGTTCACCATAGCATCAAGCTATGACCTGTCAAACCAGTGCTTTGTCCTAGAGGTGCAGATTATTTTTAAAGAGCTACAGGACTCCTAGGAGCTGTATGGAGTATTCAGTGCCAGAGAACTACACAGGAGGCTACCAGACTCCTTGTTCCTTCCCCCTGCTCCTGGACTGTGGTACCAAGTGAGTCAAACTTTAGCAGTTTGTGCCAGTGGATGCCCGAGTCCTAAAGGCAAATCAAAGAAAGGACATTCTTTGTGCAAAATGCAGAAAAAAAATCAAAGTGCACAGAAGCATCTCCAGGGACTGCTCTCACACTAGGTGGCGTGTATTTGCCAAGTGAGAAATGAAACAGAAGCTACAAGTGAAATGCAGGTGGCCGTAGTACAACCTACCAGATGTTGGGACCTAGAGGGTGGCCCTGCACTAGACCAGCGATTCTCAACCTTTTTTGTACTAGGACCCATTTGGAAACATTGATGGCCAGTTGTGACCCAGTGTCCCTCACTCGCAACCCACTACCCCCCACCTCCCAGTGTGTGGGGCAGAGGGGGGGCAGCCCAAGCAGCTGGAACTCTGCCAGCCTGCAAGAGAAAAGCCATGGTTTCCCATGTTTCTCTCCTTTAAAGAAGAAACCATTTTTAAAGTTTGTTTGCAATCCGTTTATATATTCTTGTGACCCATGGGCTGAGACATGCTGCACTAGACGGTCATCTGTCTCTGGATGTGGCTGCACATGCTGCCTTGTTGTCGTCCTTTATTTCCATGACCTGCATCCAAACCAGTACCCTCTTTGCTTTACCACTGTTGCTCCCAGGAGACTTTGGCAGAGACAGAAGTCTTCCCTTTCTCTCTGGATGTAATGAGATCTGGGTTCTTTTGGGTTGTAGGTGGAATGGATTTTGTAGAAAGCAGGCCTCCAGTGATGCCCACTGTGCAGCTAGAAGACCACCCCAGGCCAGATTTGAAAAGAGATGGTGAGTCAATGATACCAAAAACTGCAGGGGTGGGGGGAGGTTATCACACGATTTGTACCAGCCAGGATCCAGGTGGAAAGCAGGGATGGTTCATGCCATCTGAACATGGCTAGTTAGTCTAGCAGTTGACTTCTTGCTTAGAGTCTGAGGGTAGTATGATGAAATTGAAGACACAACATCACAGCAGTGGTGGAGGTCATGGTACTGCTTCCCCTTTGCACTGTCTTTATGGCTTTAGCCAGGCCTGTCATTGCCTTTGGGTCCAAGTCTCCATGGATGGCAGCTGTTGATACACAGCATACCAATGACTGCTGTTCCTTAGAGAAGAAGGATGGAGCTGAAGCAGTGGGCAGGCACTCAGGAGACACATGCTTACTCCCTGGCTTCACCCCAAATTTTCTGTGTGATCTTGGCCAAAGTGCTTATGGACTTGGTTTTTTTTGGAATTTCCAAGCCTTCGGCAGTCTCCTAGAAGTCCATGGGAGATGCAGGTGTTGAAGCCCTTAGAAAACCATGTCCTTAATCCTCTAGGCTAGTGATTCTCAAACAGGGTCCTTTGACCCTGGGAGGCCTTGAGATCCTTTCAAGGGTGTTGCAGGATGCCAGGCAATGCTAGTGTGCAAACATGAGTTCAAGATAAACCCAGAGATTTCCGATAGGAAACTATAGTGTTAAAAATATTCTGCCCAGCTGTGGGCTTTCTGTGCTCTTTGCAACAGAAGATTTGCTCTAGTATTTTTCTGTAGTCAAAAAATGAGTGAAAACTAAGAGCTGGCATTTTCCAAAGGCACCTTGTGTGTATGAAGGGCTGCCATAAAGGGATGCCTTGATTCTAAAAAGGTTGAGAACCACTGGTCTAGGCCCAGATAATCTGTCTATAAAATGGAGATAATATTTCATGCCTCCTGTCTTTGTCTTTCCCATTTAGACTATAAATGTTTGGAGCAGAGACTATCCCTTACTCTGTGCAGAGTCCAGAACAACAAAGTTCTTTGGTGCCACCAGGGACCAAAGAGTGGAGACTCAAGGACACAGGGTGGGCAAGTGTCTGTCACAAGGTAGGATGGAGCAATTGTTCAAGGGGGTATTAAGAGGAGGAAGGATGCTTGAACTGAAAACTCTGAGAGTACAGTCCTGTCTACCCAGTTTTGAAGAAAGAAAATATTTTCATTGTTAGTGTTTATTTGTATCGTGGTGGACTCTGAAGCCTTTGTCATGAGCCAGGACTTCATGGTGCCAGACACTATACAAATACAGAATGGAAGATCAGTCTCTGCCCCAAGGAGCTTACAGTCTAAGCAGAGATTCCCCCAGGAGAAGCCCTTTTTTACAGCACCCTGAATAATAACTAGTTATGCCTGCCATTGTTTTGGGACTTTTTTCATTACCCTACAATGGAATGGGTGCACAGCAGATCTCTGCAGCTGAATCAAAAAGCATAGTATACAAAGCCATTCCCTCCCTGCCCCTTACTGCTCCTTCTCTTCTCCTCAAGGTTTCTCTGGATTCTTCTTGTAAAAAATCTCCTTAAAAAAATGAAATGTTGAAGCTGGATATCCCTCCACTGTCTCTGCCTCCCGCCCTCTTTCAAATCATTTTCCAAGGAGGGTGCCCCAAGTCTCCATCTAATCCATTTGGTAGCAAATAAGGGCTATGTCTCCTGG